AGCATTTTAAAACTTTTATAATTTTTTTAAGCATTTTAAAACTTTTATAATTTTTTTTAGCATTTTAAAATATTTAAACAACGAAAAAATTTAACATAATAAACAAAGAAATATAAAATAACAATAAGGAAAATTACTATACAATTATACTATTACTATGACTACAATTGATTTAAATAAATAAGAAAATATTTAGAATACAACGTGACTTTTTCGTCACATATAAAAATTGCTTATTAACATTTCACTGGATATTTTAAAACATGCAACAAATAAACAATACAGAAATACAAATTAAAAACAATTCAAATTAAAAGACATAGAAAGAAATTCAAATGATTAAAAAAATTAAAACTAAACATGATTCTTTTGCTACTTTTACAAAATTTCTTATTGCAATTTCATTCGAGATTTTAAAACTTGGAACAAATAAACAACGAAAGGATATGAAATAAATACTATTTAAATTAACACAATTACAATGAAATGCAAATGAATACAAAAAAAATGTCTGGTTATGTATTGTGTCGATACAGGTAAACAATTCAGCAATCTGTTTGTTTTTTCAAGATTGAAATTTAATATTTCGCATGTCCGAATCGGCATGTTTTTTCACAAATTTATGTCTAAATAGTTCTTGCTTTTATTTGCCAGGGCAGGTCTTATGGGTATATATTTTTTCCTATAAGTTAACCTAATAGTCATTTTTATATCTGCTTGCAATACCTTAAGTTTTCACACTCTTAGTTCATATCTCATAACCAGTGCTGATTTCTTTTCTGCAATTTTGGCAGAATACATGGTAACATTTTGTACAAAGTTCAAAAATATGTGATTACAATTTGTTCTGAGTCAGAGGTGCTGAATACCTGTTAAAGCGCACAAAATATTTGCTTTTTTTACATAAATTTCTAAATTAGCTCCTTTCATTATTATATTTAAATGTTTAAAGAAATTTTCCAACACCTCAAATATAGACGTATATGACAATAAATTTCTAAAGATTTTCTAGACAAAAATCATGCCCATACATATCAATAGCAGATAAAAAGATGCTTTTCATTTTATTGTGGCGCAATTTATATGCTGGTCGATATGTTACAATTAAAGTGATTTTTGATATTAAAATTTAAAGTAATTTTTGTTATTTTTAAAATTTATCTTTTAATGTTTTTGGATATTTTTTAAATAGAACAAAAAGCAACAAAGTTGCTTAATAAAAAACAACTAAAATTAAACTAAATGCAAATTAATGCAAATAACTAAAAGAAAATTAAAATTTAAAATTCCTTTTTTGTTATTTTTAAGATTTATCTTGTAATTTTTTTGGATATTTTTTAAATAAAAGAAAAAGCAACAAAGTTGCTTATTAAAAACAACTAAAATTAAACTAAATGCAAATTAATGCAAATAACTAAAAGAAAATTAAGATTTAAAATTCCTTTTTTGTTATTTTTAAGATTTATCTTGTAATTTTTTTGGATATTTTTTAAATAAAACAAAAAGCAACAAAGTTGCTTAATAAAAGCAACTAAAATTAAACCAAATGCAAATTAATGCAATTAAATGCAATTCTATTTAAGAAAATTAAAATTTAAAACTATTTTTTTCTTGTTTTTAAAAATTTGTCTTGTAATTTTTAGCACAGTTTAAAAATAAAACTTCTTAAATCTGTGAAAAAAATTGAAAAAATAATCAATAAATATATCTAAATTATTCAATTATTTAATAATTTTTAAATCAGTGAGTTTATTTTTTTCCTAAAAAACATTATTTACAAATCAAACGAAAATTATTAAGTTGATAATTATTAATTTGATACTGTTGTGTGATTTATTATGTTTCATAAATTTTATTATTAATTTGATTAGTTTAGAATCTTTGTACCTAACTTGCTGAATATTTTAATATCTACTCCCATTTACCCTGTTGCTTTTTCTTTGTTACGAGACTACTATTCTCCCAGAATATATTCTAGTCCATACTTGAACAAGAATATATTTATATATATATAATGTCTTGTAAGCCTACTCCAGTCTGTCTATATGTAAAATATCAATCTTCTAAGGAACACCTTATCTATCTCCACGTTAATACATGTTTTTTGTTGTCCTGTTACCATGGCCAAAACACCATTTATATCAAGGTGTTTAATTTATAAATGGATAATAAAAAACAAAAGTGTTAAGTGTAAAATACGAAAATATTCTAATTAAACACTTACCCGAGATGAACTCGAACCAAATCAAGCAGATTGATACTTGATTGAAATGATCTAGAGAAAGAGATCATTAATCAAACTGAATGTATTCAGTTTGTCCATTTTTCATGCTTTTCCAGACTTTCTGTGCTGATCTGAATGTGAAAAAGCAATTATAATTATTTTTTGATAACATATCTGAATTCGAATTTTATCAAAACTTATTGACAGCGCAATATCGGCTGTGTTTATATTGATTAGTTGCAAATATTTCATTATATGAAATTGAGAATCAAAAATGTTATATTTATAAATAATTGCTAGTGATTATTATTTTCATTTGTAGATTATTTTTTCATTGGGTTTAAAATTCAACTATTTTGGTAAATCTCGATGCAGTGCAGTACTATAAAAAAGTTTTGCCATCTTTATAAAAATTACGAAGTTCTTAAGCTCAAATATCTGCGTTCATCTTAATATTGTGTATAATTGTTGCTGTTTGAAGTACTTTGGTTTAGCATCACACTGCATTCAGTGAGAATTGTAAAAGCGAAACAATGACCGAGCAAAATCAAACTTTGTATTCACATATATAGAAACTTACCTCTTTACAGGCTTCCATACGGCCTTGAAAAAAGATCCGGCTTTATTTAATGTTTTTCTCTTATTATCAGCACACACAACATTATATCCAATGGTGTTAGAATTTTCCATGCACCCTTCGTGCTTGCTGAAGCCTTCATTCAATCGGATGTTCGTTGGACGACCCATAATGTCATCATTTATTTCATAGTCGTCCTGATCTTCTACCAATCGCTCACTAAAAGTAGAAAGAAAAAATTTACAATGCAGTAAATATTTATAAAACTTATAGAGAAATTACAATATTACAGAACATTTATTTCAAACATTTATTTCAGAAACATTTTGTATTATATTTTCCAAAATTTTCCATGAAATAAACAAATTATCACGTAGACGTCTCTTAATTAAGTTATGGCAACGCAACACTTAGGCGATCTGCCTAGGGAAAATGCCTTCTGATTCAGAATTAAAGTTTCGATGCCTTCTGACGTTATTAAAGTTTTTACTATTTTGTGGACGCTTAGGGCCTCCTCTAATTCAAATTCAAATTTATGTGCAGAACTCTTTACTGAATGTAATTCTTATCTAAAATTTTCAGTTTAATGCCGATCTCAGGGGTATACAGTGGCGCTTTATCGAACTTTGAATATATATAGAAAATGCGTATGTCGCTTAAGGTTGTTCTCAATAACATTACGACAGAGGTCTATAATCTTTATTGGAACCGAAAAACACATAGACGCCCTTTTCTTTTCTACGTGTAGATAAATAGAGATAGATACTATATAAACAATTATGTTCTGAAGAATGAAAAAAAATGTGTCTAATAATAACTATTTTAAAAATCTAGTAACGAGTTGTTAATTTTCTTGGTAACATTTCGTGGGTCCATTTGCTATAATATTTTACTTAAAAAACTTGTTATATTTTTAACTTTTATAAAATAATGAAAACGCTTAATTTTCAGAGTAGGGATAAGTTTTATAAAAGGTTTCTAAATGCTAACAAAGAGTAAAATCCGATTTTACTCTTTGTTAGCATTTAGAAACCTTTTATAAAACACCTTACTTGAGATAAGACAAATGTCTCACCTTACTTGAGATAAGACAAATGTCTCCTTTTATCTTTTTACCCCTCGACCTGTCACTACCAAAATTTGACACCATCGATCATTCTAATACACATACCTTCCTAAAAGATTTCTAAAATTTTCAGCCAAAAGCACAGGAGTTATTTCGCTTCAAAGAAGTTGAACAAAATCGTGCCTTTAAATACACACACACACACACACATGTCCATCTATACATACATAAAAAGCTGCGATTATTGTTGAATTTCTCGACGTTTCAAGATCCCCAGAGTCTTATAAAATTCATGATATGTAAGTCTTGAGAATCATTCTTTGACCGATTGCTATACTTTCCTTCTATTATATACAACAGAGCCGAAAAATTAAAAATAATGTGGTGACTATATATTTGTCACATGGAATTACAAGCAATATTAAGGGATCCTATTTATATTTTTTTTATATCGTTCGCCAGAAATTTTCGATTGGAGTATAATAGCATGTAAGATTACGTCACAATGAATATATTTTAATTGTGTGGAAATTATGTGTTTCGTTTTTTTCATTATAACAAGCCCAAGTGGACTTTCAATTTAATCTTGTTATAATGACACAAAAATGTCTAAGGTAGATAAATGTATAATATAAATAATGAAAAACAAGAAGCACGTATCAACATATTTTATAACTATATTTTATATAAACAGTAATATAACTTACCTGTTAAAGCGATCGCGCGAAATCTTGTAAAATGGCCGAATCTTATCTATTGCTTGTTTGTATGCAGGATTAATGTGATTTTTCAATATGGACGTTCCAAATTTAATATTTGCGGATTCATCCTGTTTCAATAGGCCTTTTTTCTTGCCCCGAAATTTAAAATTCTCCAAATTCTTTGGATTCACGAATCCCGCTCGTCCATCAGATGTTGCCCTGAAAATAAAAAGAGAAAATTTATATAACACTATAAATGTTAAATACCGAAACCTTTATTCTAATTTTAAAATTGAATATACAAAAATTTGTTAATGAGTACTTATTTAAACTTTTAGAAAAATTCTTACACTCTAAAAACTTTGCATTTAACGTCTAACAAAATTTCTTATCAAACTGTAAGCTAAAGAAAGCATCATTTAATAAACTCGTGAAATTTCATTAATTTGAGTGAAGGAAAGAAGTTTTTACGAATTAAGCTTAAATTTTCAATAAGTATCTTATTATAAAACAACATGTAATAAAATTTAACAACTTTAAAATTATATATCTATTCACTGCTGATTTAATAACTTATGACAATAAGTCAATAAATTCGTCTATTACGTGTAGTGAATTGAAAAGGCTACAGATGGAAAATAAGTCTATTAAATTAGGTTTATAGAGTGATAAACGTATTCTGTTTCCTTTTTTAAGTAACAGTAAAGGTAAAAAGCCCTAAGATGCATTTACTTAGCACAAGATTTTTAACACTGAGCAGTTGAACTCACATGCAAATTTAACCCTTTAATTTTAACATCAAAATAATTATAGGATACAGCAAAACACAAAAATGTTTGCTTAAAAACTACATTCAGAAACATCGAAAAGTCGAAATTATTAAATCAATTTAAATTAGTTATCATTTGCACAGAGCAATTTTATTTTAAAGCCATTAATTTGTCGAATAAATTTCTTATTTGCATAAATAACAATAAAATGTGAAAAATCTCTTACTCGAAAGGTTCAGGCAAAGGTTGATAATTCAAAAAATCGTAAAACATCTTGCAATTACTTTAAAGCGCACTCTTGACAATAGAAGAGCAAAACAATCACTGGTCAATTGTTGAGTTTCTTTGTTACGCGTTAATTGAAGAAAAGAGAAATTTTAATGATTAATTTTTGTTTTATTTTTTATTTTTGAATTAGTTTCTGTGTAATAATGAATAAAGGGTGATGGCCATAACAGAAAAATGTCTTGGCTCACCTCTCTGGAGAAGTTGGGATCGAATCCCAGCGAGCAACTCTCGAAGAATTTTTCATGAAAGATCTATCTTAGATACGTTGAGCACAGTCCGTCATCATTGTAGGTTGGACCATACCTACCATTATGGGCATGGTAATGAACAAGATTGATAGCATTTTAGAGTTGCCTACCTGTGTCTGAGTGGAAAAACCACTGAATATTTGTAGCTTTTCGTCAGTTTTCGCCTCGCCGACAGGCTGACAACATAGAATTTTTCGGGTTTTCTTCACGTGTGCAACACATAAATAGGGGTCAGTTTCCCATTTAAACCTCTTCCGAGAGGCACTTCTCTTCAGAGTCGTGTTGACATATACAACTAATTTAAAGCCTTTTAATATTCATATGGAAAAAAAGTAATATTACTAATGAGAATAACTATATGTGAACCGCAATCTGTGCAATAGAATCAGAGTATGTACTGTTGATATTGATGACACTTTATTTACGAATTAATGTTCAATAAATAATTAAAATTACTGCAAAATAGTTTAACTATATTAAGGCAAAAAAAAATTTTTACAGGTTTCAGTCGCATTTGTATGTGATTTCTTTCACTAATCATCTAAATGTAAAGAATTATTTGTTCTAACTGACTGAATAAGTTACTGATTCATCATCGGCCAGAGCAAACCGCTGAACGTAATAAAATGAAATTTGGTACATAGTTAGATTACGTCTTTAAAACGCACACTAAAAAAATTTTCGGAATTCTCCTGCGGGGGTAGAAAGATAACATTAAGGCTTAATCTAAAGAGCGGCTTCTACTGTACTATTTTAGAAGCTGTTTTTTGTTTTCTACTACGTTTAGTTTTTATTGAGTACTTTGGTATATTAAATTAATAACATTTCAGATATTGTTTATAAATATTTTTGTATATTTCGATTTTTAACCAAATGTTCGAACCGTTTTAAATTCGAATTTGTCATTGCATATTGGTTCGATTATAGAATAATTGTAAACGTTACAGAAAATTGATCAAATTAAAAATAGTTCGTTTGATTTTCAGCTATTCTCATTATTCTCATTATTCTCAGCGATAGGTGTTATATAGCAATTACCATGGTTGTCGAAAATACTGAATATAAATAAGGTTTGCTTGCAAAACCCCCGCAAGCAAAGTCGTGGGTAACAGCTAGTTCTGTTTATAAAGAATAAAGGTATATTTGGGAGCACGGCAATAACGGCTCTCGTCTCGCTTCATATTCATATGCGTTTATACGGTTCTTACTACTATGACGACACATTATCGCTTACGAAACCAAGCATTTTAAAATAATTTGGCGCCTTTCTTATCTCGAACTTGTTCGGAAATTTTCAAACAAACAATGATTAATATTTATAAATAGTGATGTGCCGGATCGTTAAAAATGTATATCCGCGGATACGGATACGGATACGGATCATTCGTGTCTAGATCCGCGGATACGGATACGGATACGGATCTCAACTTTCGTACTCAGTCAGCGCCGGTGCGTGTGACCTTGGACCGATAGTTGACGCTTTGCGTTAATAACGCGACGTGTTTTGACTTGCACTGCGCGTGTTTTTGTTTATGGTGTAAAAATGTGCTAAATTAGAATTCACCACAAAGGCAGACAGGATAAAGTAACAAAAGTTAATATAATTTTCCAATTGAGCTTTTTTGCGTCTTTATACAGATTCTATTTCGGGGGATTCCAACTTCACGGTACAAACAGTAGCATGCGAAATTACAGCGATAATAATAGTTCGCTGTATCCAAATCACGTGTACAATACAGATCCCGATCGCGACAATATAACCCGGAACCTTAAAACTAACCTTAAACACTAACTTAACACTAATAACAGAAAAAGGGATAGAATTAAGAAGACAGAAAAAATGATAGATAAGATAGAAATAGAGATATCTGGGGTTTTGTCCCTTTTTTCGGCTTGTTTCTTTATGCATACTGTTGGGTGGGATAACACACGCCCTTCTCTTATAACTGGCCAGTTCTCTTCTTCAATAATTAGGATTTTTTCTTCCACAGTCGTCAATACGACCTTAAAACACGATCTTTTTTCTGAACTATCCGGTCATTGAAAATACGACTCCCAGTATTCTCACCTCGTCCGTACACTCTGCTGTCCAGTTTACGAATGATCTGCTACGTCACTTCTTTTTTTTCTCCGGCTTCTGTTTACACCTTTGCTCCTCAAAGTTCTAGGAACTGCTTATCCCAGCCAAGGGACAGAGAATAGATAAGAAAGTTTTAGAAGAAAATAGAACAATAGAACAAAGGGTAGAAAGAAGAAACGAAACTAAACTAAAATTAATATTTACAAAAATATAGCGTACCGCCACAATAGTTTAGTGCAGTGTTTCCCAACCTTTTTTTGCTATGCCCCACCTAAGCCTTTCTAAAATTCTAGTCTCCCTAACATATACAGCGGCTATACTGTTAACTTAAACTCTGGACAAGTACAAGTCCATTTTCGAATTGCCCTCCTTAGCAATCCAATTGCTCCCTGTGGGGCGTGGGCCCCACGTTGGGAAACACTGGTTTGTGGCTAGTGTGACACGGGATAGCGTAGATTACGTTTGTGTTTTTGGAGAGTGTTGAGTTAAATTAAAATAAAAACAATGCCGACAAAAAAATTTAGTAGTGTAATATGGAAATATTTTACGATAGTAAATGACGAATGTGCTATTGCTACCTATCTTTAAAATTTCATATAAGTAATGAAATTCATTAAGATAAAAGATCCGTTAAAGATCCGCTAAAAAGTAACGGATACGGATACGGATACGGATTTTTTTTCCCTCGGATATCCGCGGATACGGATACGGATACGGATATCCGGCACATCACTATTTATAAATAGTAAGTTACTGTACTATAATACTATTAAATAACGCAGGCAGAAACATCACAAAATATTCAAATATAAACATTAAAGATTACATACAGTCGACCCCCCTATAACTCGGTAGCTACGTTTCACTTTATAAGAATTTTACGTTGTAGGATTACTTAAATACATGAGCCAATCACAGCCCGACACGTGTGCAGTTTACGGTCTACGGCTGTTTGAACTGTTTTTTTTTTATAAAATTAATCGATTCTAAACTAATTTGACTCGGCATTTCTAAAACACGTATAATCCGTATAAACTATGCTATATACAAAAACTTGTAGGATTACTTACTGAGTGTGCACCGTTCGATGACGCCATTGCTTAAGCTTGTTTTCGTCGCGCAGCAGCGCATTGAACGGTGCGGGTGCGTTTTCTGATAAGTCACTTTTCTGTGAAAATTTCGTTGAACTTTAGAAACATCATTAATTAAAAAAAAAAATAGTTCTTATGGCCGTTGAAAAAGAAATGCTTTTTTCACAAGAAATGTATAAAATTACAGTACTGTATTAGACTTACAGTACCGAATTTATATACAGTACAGACGATAGTAAACTCAACTTATCCGCCTAAACTCTCTGTAGCGTGTAAGTAGTTCGGGTGCTCGTTTACTATTGGTCCAGATTCGACCAATCCTGTATCGACACGAGTTGGCGATAACGTTTTATTATTTTGTAAATTTAATAATCACTTTGTAAATTTAATATCATTAATTAAAGTTCAATTTAATCAATCTTTTTTTCATAAGACATTATCGTGAGTTATCTCGGGCATAGTCCTTAAAGGCCTGAAAAAACGCCCTTGACTTAAAATTATTCCAAAAATTTCATGAATTGTTTTTGCCCCAAAAACATTTTATGACGATTTTTAATTAGGTAATTGCGCTATTGTTTTTTATGGGAGTTTTTTTAATTAAATTAATTAAATCGTTTTAAACTTCTATTGGACTGGTTTGACTTGTTTACAATTTTTTATAACGCTATTGGATGTTTTTTATGACATCAGCAAGTTATTTATTTGTTTTATGTTGGTAAAATTCTTTGTATACTTTTTTTAGTCCCCTCGTAATTTAATAGCATGATAATCGAAAATATTGTGTTATATTCGAACATATGCTATAAGTTAACTTTCGTTATGCTTCAAACCAATATCACCCTAAGGCGTTCACGAGAACTTCTGGGCAGAGCTGACTCCAGCTGTTCTCACGGTCAACCGGTTTGTTTACAATGTACACTGCACAAGTGAAATGTCATGCCTTGTTAAATAAAAAAATAACCATCCGTGCAGCTATATTATTCAAATAAAAGCATTCATTTTAAATTATTTTTAATTTTTATGTAGTTTTTCTGTAAAAACACTTTTTCAGGAATGTTTATTTTCTGGCAATTACTTCCTGGCAATTTTTTAGTGTAAGATTCGCATTTGAGTGAAAATAATTATTTAATACAAAAAATAAAATTCTTAGAAGGTTTTTAATTAACATTATAAGTTAAACAATAAGCGCCAAATAAATAAGTAAAAATGTATAAGATTTGCTGGTATGTGAATTGTGGATGGTACACATCCGCTGTTTTGTTTAATTTTTAAAATTACAGTCAATTACTTAATCCAAAGATTTTTTAACACGCAATAACGCCGCTCTTCCCTAACTAAAGTAATAAAAATAAAAGTTAAATATAATAAAATTATATATTTATGTTTTGTAAATTATGTTTTACTGATTTTAGATACTTTCGTACATTAAGTCGAAAATCCTTATTATTTCATAATGTAAAGATATTTTTATTTCAACACTCTCTAACTGTTAGAAAACCTAAAGACGCCAAGTAAATTACTACGTCATCAGACTGTTGTTCAGGCTAAAATTACCAACTAAGTGAGAAATTGTTCAATCTAATTACTTGCTGGTATGGACTTTAACTCACTGATATGAAAATTCTTTACAATAACAATAT